ATAATGATAAAAGCTTTTGCAGTAAAGCTGAACGAGTAATAAAACATCGCATAAAAAGTAGTAAAATTTCAGCTAAGAATTAAACAAAAAAATGAAATACCAATAAAAAGAAATCGTTGAATTAATAAGTACAACATTGAGAATGTCATATTTTAGAATTGATAAGAAATACTGATAAGTAAAAGAAATTTAATAAAAGCAGTACTTTTGCAAAGCACATTGAAATGGGAGAGTTTAATTTTCAGAAATGTAACATTTTAAATGGGGAATTATTTATAAATAAACGCTAGAAGTACTTTCATTGTTTCCTAGAAATTCAGAATCATAAGAACCAATATCACAATCAGGTGGCATCACAATACCCAGTATTCGACCCTGATCGTTGATATCAAAATCCTGAAAAGAACTATTCAATAATCCGTTAAGGTTATGAAAAAGATAAGAACAACTCAACCGAATTTATTGTCAATTGATTCACATTGACTTTTGAACTGACCATGGAACTCTTTCTTTTTCTAATGATTCCAAGATTTACTGAACTTTTCAAGAATCAAATTTGGGATTTGAAAACTCCTTCAACTAATTTACATCATCTGGAATTACGAATGCATTTCCAAATCAGCTTACATTTATAAATGCATACTGCTAGTTAATTACAAGTGATCTTATCCATTATTTTCATTCCTCTACAGGAATATTTCATTCGGAATCGTTGTCGGATTAAACAATTTATCATAATAAAGGTTTAATTACCCAAATTTGAGAATTATCATTAGAGAGGGAGGAACAATCCTCAGTCTTTGTTACGGTTAAAAAAAATCGTCGACAAAGACAATAAAGAACAAAGGCGATGAAAGAACTCTTGTGTATTAATGCTTAATATTTCCTATTTCTGTTGCTCTAAATTTGAAACTTTTCAAAATAAACATATTAAATGTTTTATCCTTTACTTATTACATCATTTTTCCTTTTAATAAAAAGAAAAAAAAACTTGATAAAAAGAAAATTTCAAGCTTATGCAGTTATTGCAGGTATTTTGTCGAAACATCGAAGTAACCGACATTTTTTCAGCCCAGGAAAAAAAATGCAAAAAAAAAAAACTAAATTAACCTGTAGATATAATGTTTTCTTCGTTTCCATTTCCCACATTATAATCTTCTCGCCCACTTTGTTTGCAGCGAATTTTTTCGGAATAACACGAATTTCAAAGTCTTTAATTAAATCCCAGTGCTCGTTAATTAAAACGTCATAAAATGATTGTGGCCGATTACATTTTCGTTTCCAAATTATCTGTAAAAAAACATTTCAAAAAATGAGAAAGTAAAAAAATATGAAATAGTTTTTCGTTTTTTTTTTCCCATCATTTGATATAGAATGATCCCTGTTGTTTTGTTTTGTTCTTGTTAATCCAAATAAATATTTCAACCTGAAGCGATTTTGATATCCTGCTTGGAAAACTGGTAATGAAATTTAAAACGCCAATATGCAATTTCTCTTCGCTACAGTTTATAAGTGATAACTTCCGCAAACGTGGAGCCATCTGAAAAAAAAAAAAAGATTAGTAAATTATAAAAATTCCTTGTCACTACAACACTCTTACCATTTACACCTTTTTTTCCACCACATTACTCGTGATTTTATTGCGAAATTAATGGGAAAGTAGCGAAGTCCAATTAATTAATGGCACGAAACGATTGTAAATTGGGTGAAGTTTGGTTCTCAGTTAAATCAATAAATTATTGTACATCAAATACAATAAAATTCCGATTGATAATCATGCTAATATTTTAAATTAGCAACAAAATTTTTGAGAAATCAGGCCTGGTATATGAGATATTACCGATATGACGCAACTTCAAATTAGTACAATTGCTTTTTCAGATACTACCTATGCCCTCTCTGCATCAACGGAACAATTCGCTTTATTCAAGAATCACATTACTCCGAATCAGGAATAACAGCAATATAACTAGCAATATTACTAAACACTTGTACTACATCTTTACAAAATCACAAGATGTTCCCGATCAATTTAAGGAACAATTGGTTTGATTCGAGAATCTTATCCTTAATCAAAAACGATCGATTTGCTAATCTGTAATATCTCTACTTCCCCACAATATTTCTTCATCTCGTATGAAATGTCGTATAAATCGAATCAGATCAAAAAAGTCTAATTTATCCTTCTAACATTGTTACTGATTAAAGTCTGAATAATTTGTTGCATTTTTTTTCATCCTCTTCTGTCTCTCCCGCCTTTTCTTCTCCCTCCTCCTCTCTTTCTTTCTCTCTCTACTATACAACTATAAAACTGTTAAGAAATACGATCTTAAATCTTACAAAAAAAAAAAAGAATTTCCCCTTCCTCTTTCTCTCTCTACTATACAGTTATAAAACTGGTAAGAAATACGACCTTAAATCTTAAAAAAAAATAAAAAAAGAAATAAATAAATAAAATGAAATGATAAATCTTAGGGTTATTTTGAAATAATAATTTAATTTGAAAATAAAAAAAGTAATTTACCAAGGAGAGATGCAAGAGAATTGCAGGAGAAACAGCTGATACTTGAATAAATTTCACATCTGTTAAACGTGGTAAAGGATGTGTTAGTAATAAATTTCGTAGAAGTGTTTCATCGGTAAGAAATGATGCTTCAAATCGTCCCAATACCGTACCAAATGATGCAGGCGGTAATTTCATTGAATTTAACACTTCATCTCTTCGCCTAAAATACAATAAATCATCTCTCTTCAATGATGCTAAAATTTTATAATTACAAATAAATTTGAATGAAAAATTTTTGTTTTCATTAGTAAGTTCGATAAATGAAGAAATAAGAGCAAAGAACTGAAAATTTTTCCGTAAAATTAAACATCCATTTATGATATTAGCAATTTTCCGCTTCCGGAATTATCACTTCTCGCAATTTACATTCTCTCTCAATACATTTACATTATATCAACAAAACATTTGCCACTTTTTTTTAATCACATTATGTCGATAAGAAGTTGCAATCATTTTACGGTTACTTATGAAATAATATTTTCATTGAAATAATTATGAAACAATATTTTATAATTTTCTTTCATGATATTCATGCTACCAAACCGATTATAATCGTTATACGATTATTTATGAAATATCAACAGCTGCCATTTTTTTTAACTACATCATGCCGATTTATCGATTACCTGGTTATAACCGTTACACGGTTATTTATAAAATATTTTCAATTTTTCTTTTTTTTCATTATCATACTAACCTTACCGATTATAATCCTTATACGATTATTTATAAAATATCAACAGCTGTTGTTTTTTTTTTCAAACCATATCACACCGATATGTTTAAAGTCTTAATGTAGAAAAGTAAAAGTATTTAACTTGAAAAATTATATGCTTACTCGGTTCTCGTATCCTTTTGAAGTATACCAAAATGTAGCGTTAATTTTCTTGCAGCTATTAATGATGATAAATCATAGATTCGTTCATAATTAGTTTCTTCACTGATAACATTTAATGATACTACCCGCATCGCTGAACTAAATATCAAAAGTTATGAATGATATTTATTTTAGAAATGTTCTCTTTCATCTTTTTTTCAGTTTTCATTTTTATTTTAAAACGAATTTTCGCAAATTCTTTTTTTATCATATTTTAATTATTTAACTTTAAAACAAATGCCTTGAAAATATCGTTCATATCATAAAATTTATCCACAGCTTAAATAAGAAATGAAAGTTTTTGTTTAAAGTAGATTTTAAGAATGCAAGATATGAGTGCGAAAATTTATTAACAATTACCGAAAATTTCAGAAATTTGAGAACTACTGAAAATTTTAAGTAGATGAAAATCTTCTGAAATAATTAATTCTAATTATACAAGCTTTTAAGAGTTAAAAATGCATTTCTTTTCCGATAGAAAAAAAAAAGAAAACTTGGCAAATAAGTTGAAAAGATAACCCTGTGAATGAGATAATACGTCGAATAACAAAGCCAAGATCAGTATAACATAAATCTAATTTAATCATTTGAAGTGAATTAAGTTTGATGTCGAGTTCGCATACACGTTCTGACGTATCGTTTCGCAGTTCACGCTCATCACCATTATCATCATCATCATCGTTATCTGATGATCGAATTATAACAGTTTGGCGATGTGAATCAATTTTGCAATATCGAAATATCTACAAATAATACTTTAACCAGACGATTAATTTTTTCATTTCCTTTGCTTTTGGTTTTTCATTTTTTTTCAAATACTTTTAACAAAAAACTCGTGAGACTTCATTTAAAAGAAGTCTTACTTTTTGAACAAAAAAGTTTTTGGAGAGAAAATGACAAATCAAAAAATTAAAAAGGAAAAAGTTGACATATTTTTTTAAAGAAAATTGCAATTGTTACTTACATAAAATTAATTGAGTGAGCTAAAAGAGAAAAAAAATTCCTATGGAAAGCCCGTAGTTCATTGAATTTTTAAATATTGAAAATTGTTTTTTAATGTTTGAAATGATAATTGTACACGAAGTACTAGAATATTCCATCCATTAAATAGCATTGGCAAAAAACATCGAAAAAAAAACTATCATTTAACTTAGTAATCACCGATTCAGTCTGATTTTCAGTTTAATTCAATTCAATTTAATTAAATCTACCTTTGACAGTTTCTTCTCTAATTAAAACTTCTGGGAATTCCTTTTTCTCAACTTTTCAGAAAATATACACCTTGATGTTATTATTATTTTACGCATCACAATGATAAGATTAATACTTAAGCGACGTCAAAGTAATATGAGGAAATATCATCATGACGACTAGGGAAAAGAAAAAAGACGCGAAATTTTTAATGACACAAATCGATTCATTTAAACAGTCATAAGCATGAGATAACATATTTACTGATATAAGAGAAATTTCAAATTAAAAAATTAAAATACAAAAAGATTAAAATTTGAAAATTAAAACCCAAGACAAAATGAATGGAATTACGGTATAAATAATATTACTAATACAATTATAAATGAGTTTTCCCTAACATCTAACCGTTATATCTTCAGTTCCTTCATTCCATTTAGATAATTCAAATAATAAGTATATGTTTCATTTTAATTAGGAGTTTTAATTTCGTCTTTTTTGGTGCTTGAATATCCGATTTTAACGCATTTTCAACCCATTATTTTATAACTATTTATAAGAAGATTAAACTTTGAAATGTGCCCCAATATACTTTGAAAGTTAATCTTTCATATCTTTCAATTCAACACTTCACTTCTATCACATATTATTAAATTTATTCTTATCTCTTCATGACAGTTATAAAATGTGATTAATTTACTTAATTACTCGAAAGATTTGCTACATTTATTCATAATCCATTTAATTAATTATCGAGCATACGTTGTTTGTGCTTAACTTTGATTAACTTTTTGTGCTTTCATTATGAGATATTATATCCAAGATAGATTGTAAAACTAATCACTTCTTCCTTTTTTCTATTCCCTTTCACACTGATTTCATAATTTTTCATTTCAAAAAATTTTTATACAAGACATCATTTTACTTTCGTTACTCACTTTTTTCATATATTTCAAAAAATACTGATTTTAAAAATATTGAAAAAAATTTAAGAGAAATACTGATTTAAAAAAAAAATGATTCCATATATTTTTAAAAGTTATTAGTTCCTTAGCAGATAATTTGAAATATATTTTTAAAAAAATTGACGATCGAATGCCCCTACCAGTCCTTAAAGGATACTGATACAAAGAATATATATAAGAACATGTATATATATATATATATAAGAATGTATATATATATATATGTATTA